TTCCTGCTATTATTTATTAAATTAATTTCTCCAGTCAGAAAAGCAGGAAATCGGAGAAATGGGAGAAATGCTCCCACTGAAGGAGTTACAAAAATTGATGGGAAAGCTGGTCTGGGACTCATCAGGATCAACCCGATCCCTTGTGGTGCTGAGGTGGCGAGCTGAAAATTGGCTTTGTTTTGGGGACCACCTCCACCACCCAACGCGCAATGACCTGCCCCCACGTTGAGGATCTGAAGGTCCTCAGGTCATGTTGAGCATCTTGGGTCTTGTAGAAGAAGCTGGAGTGGCCGCAGCCCCCAGGACTTGGTTCAGGTGGATACAGGATTCTTTTCTGTAGGATTTCTTCAGCAAAGCACTGGAGATGGCAGGAGCCAGGGCTCGCCTGGAAAGGCGAAGTGCTGTTGCTTGTCCATAAATCTCGCTGATGGCAGGTCTATTTTTGCTGCGTTCGTTAGTCTGAGGCCAACAGTGTCTAGCTGCCAGCAGCAGCCAGAGCCAAAACAAGCCTCCAGATCCCATCTGCTTCCTTGTAACCAACAGGTATGAAGAGGAAATAAACAAAAGGACGGCTGCGGAGAACGATTTTGTCCTCCTAAAAAAGGTAAAGTACTTTTTAAAAAATTTATTTATTATTTTTTTTTTTTTTTAACACAAAGTTTATCTTTTTTTTTTTTTTAACACAAAGACACACCTTGGTTTAGAGGATGTCTTGCCGCCGTCAGCACGGATTCGTTAGCATCAGGCATAAACCAGGAGCCTGGATGTGTGTGCCGAGGGGAAACGGAGCACCAAGGGCTCACGGTTGAATACAGCGGTGTGGGAGGTTTTCCCTTCCCCTTCCTCCTGCAGGATGTGGATGCAGCCTACATGACCAAGGTGGAGCTCCAGGCAAAATTAGATTCCCTGGCAGACGAGATTAACTTCCTGAGGTGTCTTTACGAAGCGGTGAGTGGTCCAGTGGCTCTCTGGGGTGGTGACGCTGCAAGGACACGGTGGCAGGGCTAAGGCCAGGTCTGGTGTGAACGGCATCTCAGATGCAGAAGACTGTTTCCGACACCTCTGTGATTCTCTCCATGGACAACAACCGGAACCTGGACCTGGACAGCATCATCGCTGAGGTCAAAGCCCAGTATGAGGAGATCGCCAACCGGAGCCGAGTGGAGGCTGAGTCCTGGTACCAGCACAAGGTGAGTGCTCCACGCCTTGCTGGTGATCCTCAGCCATGAGGAGGTGGAGGAGTCACTGGTGGCAGCTCAGACGGTGCTGGGACCTGGGGTATGGCTGGTGCTGATCCGGCCAGACTGGAGCTGGGATGTGCATGGGTGTCGAGAGCCATTGCGAGGAGCCACTCATGGTGGGCCCAAGGTGCTCCTCTTGCTTCTCCCACCAGTACGAGGAGCTGCAGGCCACCGCGGGCCAGCACGGGGACAGCCTCAGGGACACAAAGATCGAGATCTCTGAGCTCAACCGCACGATCCAGAGGATACGGGCTGAGATCGAGAGCGTGAAGAAACAGGTAGGGGTTGCATTTTTTGAGAAATGGGTGTGGGCTCTCGGTCATGCCCTTCAGAGCTGCCCCAAAAGCAAATAAACGGTAACAGTCATCGTGGGCGGGAGGGGACCTGCTGGATTTGTGAAGAGCTGAGCCCAGGGGATCTGGGCTCACGGCTCCATCTCCGACCGGCTGCCCTGGCCCCACCCATCACCCCCACGTCTTGTCCTCCAGCGTGAGACCCTGCAGAGCTCCATCACTGAGGTGGAGGAACGCGGGGAGCTGGCGCTGAAGGATGCCAGGGACAAACTGGCCGAGCTGGAGACAGCCCTGCAGAAGGCCAAAGCTGACCTGGCCCGGCAGCTGCGCGAGTACCAGGAGCTGATGAACGTCAAGCTGGCCCTGGACATCGAGATCGCGACCTACCGCAAGCTGCTGGAGGGAGAGGAGTGCAGGTGGGTGAGGATGCAGCACGAGCTTGTCTGCGTCCTGCTGACCCATCGGGCAGAACGC